TGTATAAACTGGGGGGGGGGAGGAGTACATTCTTGTTTAGGTTTCTATTCCTTGCTTAGCTTTCTCTTCTATGCTATGCCAGCTGCAAAACTTGATCAAAGTATGCCAAGGTCAACAGACAGAAGCCTCATCACCACCTGGAGATGTTCACATGATGATATTCACAACTTTTAATTGGAAGAAGCATTTGAACTATTAGGGGTGGGAACATTGCCATTACTTTGTATATGTGATTTATGTGCCCATTTTCTCAGATTCAGAATTCTTTTGTTGCTACCGCTTGATTTCCAGTAAAATATATCTTTTCTCTAATTAAAAGAGTCTAAGTATTTCTTTCTTGGATTTTGAATGGAGCACCAGCTGACAGCAGTACTGCAGGTTACTTCTACTGCCAGCAGTTTAAAAGTTTGAATCTTACAGGCTCAAGGTTGACTCAGCCTTCCATCCATCTGAGGTCAATAAAATGAGGACCCAGATTGTTGGGGGCAATATGCTGACTCTGTAAACCCCTTAGAGGGCTGTAAAGCACTGTGAAGCGGTATATAAGTCTAAGTGCTATTGTTATTGCTATTCTTTTGGGTGCCCATTGCTACAATTTTAAACCCAAGAAATATCTAATAAATACTATTAGATTTGGCTTGACAATTTGAAAAAAAACTTAGGGAAAATTTCCTACCCAAAAGGAAAAAGGATGTCAATCACAGAAAGTAGCAAAAAAAAAAACAAAAAACAAGTCTTATAGTTCCTATCCTAACAATATCCTGTATGAAATTTCTGCATTCTTATGAAGATGGGTAAGAAGTTTCCTTCAGATTTGGAACTCTCTATCAAGCACAAAGCTATATTCCAGATCAAAAATTCAGACAGGTCATAGCCAATCTAAACAACTGAATTGTTGACATAAGTCCCAGTCAGTGAAACTACAAGTCAGAAAATAATTGCCTACAAAGAAAAATTTGGCAACCTCTCAAAAAATATCTAGTTATCATTACTACTATAAAAAAAAGTATTCCAAGAGTCAAACTGCATTTATTTTTACAAGTTTACTAGTCTATCACACTCACATTGCAAAAGAACAGCTTTGAATGATTTGCATGTAGGAATCATGTAGGAATCATGCTGGCTTTCTTCTTTAACAGCCCAACATATTGGATTGTGCTTTCTTTATCTCTGGTAAATCATTCAGCAATCACAACTGGAATTTATCTCTCATACAATCCAGAGAAGACAAGTTCTTTTTCAGAAGAGAGACTAGGGTGAGCCAATAAAAATATTTTCAGAATCTGCATTTGGGTTTTGACTATAAAGCGGTTTTTATTTAGAGTCATTTATTTGGAATGTTGTTGCACTGCATTGACTGAAAAAGCAGGAACGTGTGTGCTACTTTACTACATAAAAGAAAAGATTTCAGTCCAAGAGGACCAAGAATATATTGCCATTAAGTTACTATGATATAAGAAGCAATATTCTTCATTGGGTTAAATTCATGGTCTATTTAGTTCTTTCCTTTTATGGATTTTGTTGAATATAATAGTTCACAAATGTAGAATCTTGGGAAAATTCCACCTTGTTCACAAATGTAAAATCTTGGGAAAATTCCACCTTGTTTTTGTATGAATCAGTTAACAGCTGTAGATACAGAAATAATTAAGACATAATGAAGCTTGTTTGTCCTTTCTTGACCAACAGTTACTATTTCCCAATCATCTATTTCACTATGAGTTCACACTATACACAGACACACAAACACACACACAGCATCTCATAGCAAATTATTGCAAGAGTTGTATGCAAAAGGTATGCCATTA